GGGGGGGGGGGGGGGGGAGTTTGGTGAAAAAGGCTCTAAGTTTAACATCTTGAGTATTTTTATGTGCCAGAGCGGTCAGAACCTTTAAACAACTTCATAGTAACATTTCTTTTTCCATGGATTTCGGAATGCAGCCTATTCACTGAACGATTAATTCTTATTCATGGATCGGCAAAAAAGAATCAATCGCTCGATGAATAGATTACATTCCAAAACCCATTAAAAAAAAGTGTAGCAACCTTTTAGGCCCTGAATATACAACTTATTCGATGACGATACTGACGCATGCGGATTACACAAACATTTGGAATGTTATAACTTTCTCTCTTGCATATATGTTGGCTTCGCGTTTGATACGTGGATAAGCAATTCCGCTTTCATGTATATATATATGTTTTAAAAAGCTGTACAATCTGTACAACTGCTGTACAACTTACGAAATAATAGTCCATAGACTAGTAGTTTGTACGGAGAAACAATGTGGAGTTCTTAGAATTGGACTTAGACGTCTATTAATTAAAACGTTATTATAATAAAAAAATTTACGTGTATATGTGCGTGAAATACAACTAATCATCTTTAGGATTCCCTTAAGTAAACGGGCACAGATTCTATATATTATAGATTCAAATTGGAAACGGTAAGAGAGATAAAGCTTAAGCGAACATTCGTGGAAAAGAACGTTCAACGAAATTCAAAGCATCATAATGCGACAGCTTCCCGATAGCTTGGCACATGCGATTATTAATCCCTTATTAACAAGCTATTTAATCCAGAAAATACGTCTGAGAGAAATTTTTGATGTGAATAACGACCATTAAGCCTCGGATGTCCTTACAGTGTCTTCGGCAGACCAATGTGCCGTTTATAGCTTCACCTATAAGAGAAAGTATAAATATATAGATATTATATTTTAACTATAATAAATGCGTATTGTGTATTTCGTTTCGAAATGTACTTTAAAAGATTTTATCATCTGTATTTACGTCAATTTATTTTTCTTTCCAAGAAACTTGATAAGATAACATAAAAAATTAAGTGACAATTGGACTATACGTTTTTCTCGAATATTCTCGAAAAAGAGTAAAAATTATTAGAGGAACGTTTTCATAGAAAGATATAATTTCATAGAAAGAGATTACGTAAATAAAATCTGATTTAAATATTTCACAATCTTCTAGATAAAGTAATTATCTATCTTATCAACAATCGGAAAAGTGATTAATTATTTTATTCGAGAAGAACATTTGAATCGAACTTAAATAACGCTATTTTATGACTTTTTGTATAAACATGCATTTCTATAATAATTCCGAAGATTTCTCAAAGATATTGTGAAAAGGTAATGTCTCGCTTGATCTAATTATCTTGAAGAAAAATCAATATAAACATTAAAATGTTATTTGAAATAAAATGCAATTACCATAACAAAATATAAAATATATAATTACAATTAATATCATAATTATAAAATTTTATTTTAAATGATATTTTAAAACAAACATTCAAAACAAAATATTATAATTATAATATTAACTATATATAATATATTAATTTATAACTGTAGTAAATAAACATATAACTTACCTTCAGTTATGCTAATGGGTTCGCTTAAAGAAAATACCGTCTGTTTCCAATGTGTCGGAGTAGAATAGGGACCTGTACTGAAATGAACCGGATTGTCGAGATCGAAGAAAATGTCGAAATAACCAATTATCGCTGTTAACGATCCTGTTTTCTTCACATTCAACGTGAAAGAAGATGAAAAATTCACGCAATCCGTGGTGACTTTATATAAGTCGAAGGCTTGGATCTCGGCGATGCTCGTTATCAAGTCATCGACATTACAGATTTCTATACTTGGTTCACGCAACGCTTCCGCTTTCATACAGCTCATTTTAAAACCATATACGTTTGACCAATAATCAACCAAGTCAATATATCTCTCTACACAAAAACAATAGTAATCTATGTAGAATAGCTTACAAACAATTGAATAATATATGATTATGCAATAATCATTTAAGGCCCGTATTTATAGTCATTTCCCAAATCTCATCTCAAGAGCGTATCAAGTGAGATGATCGGAATGAAATTTTCTTTCTTAAGATCTTTCGAACGATTCAATAGTCATATCTTAATTAGAAATCAAATAAAACTATATTAATCTGAGAAGCATACGATTCTCAAACGTGTGAAACTTTCAGAGATACAAAATATTGAATAAAGATAATGAATAAAAATATGTTTTATGCTTCACTAAAAATTTCACGAAATTTAATATAGTTTTAAATTACACAATTTGAACTTAATTTCATGACATTACATTAAATTTAATATACACGTTCATTACATTAAGTAACTACTATAACTTAATTAATTTCAGTTCAATCATTCATTTAATTTCGTACAATCATATTTTTAATTTCGTTCATTTACATGCAAGGAAACTCATGATTACATTTCTAACAGTATTGTTTTGAAATAATCTTTTCCAAAATCAAATTATTGACATGTTAATGACGCATGAATTTCAAGATTTATTAAATCGCGAAAATTCAAGTTGTATCTCAAAACAAATTTCATCTCAGTTCCTCACTTGAATCGCTATTATTAATGTGAAGTTATTAATATCAAATCAACTTTCAATATTCATCTATTATATATTAAACTATTTCATGTCTCAAGATCAGTTTCAGATGTTCTTCAGCAGAAATACGACTATAAGTATGAGCTTAATAAATTATTTTTCAAATACGCGCGAGATCTCTCGTCATGAAATTTAGCTAATATTATTGTAGTAAGAATTACACTGTAACACATACTTGTGTCACCACTTCCCACAATACTAATTGTACATCTGTTTGGAAGAATTGTTCCACCAGGCGTTAAATAATGATCCCTAGCATAAATAACTGTGTCCAGCATTCCTTCAAACAAGAGAAAATATCCCATCCACTCGGATATTATTGCATCCACTTTGTCTACCCCTATACTAATATCCTCCAGGCGACCCCTTTTTAAAGTGATTACATCACTGAGGTTGTTCTCTCTAAAATCAATTAATATATTTTATTATTACACTTTCCTCATATGAAATCTAAATGAAAATAGGAGCTATCTAATTTGCAATATAATCTTTCAATACAATTTATTATATATACTTTAATTAAATATATACACCTTACTATATCCATAGCATGATATATCACATCAGACTGATCGACACTGATAACTTTACTGCAACCAGATTTTGCTGCAAACATCGACAGGATACCAGTTCCACAACCAACGTCCAACATTACACAATCATGAAATTTGTTAGAATTTGTTAATAATGCATCACGATAGCTCTCCGTTCGTTTTTTATCCTAATAAAATATATTTCTATCACTTTTTCATAGATAAATACTATCAATTTAAAAGAACTTTGAAGAAATGTAATCTCAGTTAGAGTTGGATAAATTTATGAGTAAGGAAAAATAAAGATTAAGGAACTTAAAAAAAATCTCTTTAAAAAAGAAAAAATATACACCAAATGCATAAAAAAGATATTTTTCGAATTCCTTTTAATAAAAAACGAAATAAATGCAATTAATCAAATATTTCATAACGCAAGACACATAAGATAGATTGAAAGTGATTAAAATGGTCAACTGGATAAATAACGCCATTTAGCAACAATTTTAGGATATCAGAAAGATTCAAAGATATATCCTAAGGATTACAAATGGATATTTTTAAAACCTCAGATTAGAATGTTTTGACAATATTTAGCATATTTTTAGGTGCTCATTTGCTCTTCCAAACATTTTGAAATTTTCATCTTAATATATTGTCCTAAATATATCCCAACATATGTCCCAACATATTCGTGGATATGTCGGAATCATCCCGAGGATGTCTTGTACTGTTAGAGAACTTACATTCAACATTTCGTGATGTATAGCAAAGTGACTGTATGTATTGAAATAGCCTTCATCAGCGTTAGAATTATGAGCATTAATCTGAGCGTTCTTTTCTCTTTCATCTAAATCATCACCCAGTATTAACTTCTGAGCCTTCTCTTTCATCTCCTCCATTTGCTGAAAAAGCAATTTTTATTCGTTACATTATGCTACATATGGAAATATGTGTAATAATTATAATAGCTATACCTGCTTTATTAGAAAACATGTTGTCTCACTTTCCTTCAGTTGAGATTTGAGTGATCTGATAATTCTTTTCATATCTTCATACTGTGTCTCTGATAAAGTCACACTGTTATCACTTTGCATCTGTTTTACACCTCTTTCTTCATTCACATCCTTAATTTTGATAAGATCTTCAATGTCTGCATTATATTAAATAATAAAATTTGCAACTCAGTGCATAATCTGCGTAACACAATACAATATTTGTAATTCTGAGCATTGACTCAAGTCAGTGTATCTTTTTCTATTTCCAAAAAAAAAACAAAAAAAAAGAGAAGGCAATAGGCATGAATGCCAAACCCAGAATTATAAATTTTGGAAAATATAATGCCATCAATAAAATAATAGCCTTGCTTCTTTATACTCGCCATACATTAACCATGGATCATCTTCCACAACAGGACGTAAATACTCGTCTTTTTCCCAAGCCTCTATGTCTAATGTATTCAGTTGTTCTGGTAAAATCTCCTTGCGACGAACAAAATTGATTAATTTGATATAAGAGTAAGTGTCGTGAATATGTTTCTTTATAAAATCACAGAAGTCAAACTTGTGAAAGATTTCAATATGGTCCAATGCAGAAGGAAATCCATTCATATTTTCCATACAAAACAGGCACAAAATATTATAGTAATCTTCACCATTTTCCTCCCAATCATCTCCACTGTCGCTATCACTTGACATGTCATTGTGTCCTACAACAAAGAAGTAAGTAGATAAGAAGAAGATGTTCTTCTTCACCGATTTCAATGAAATTAGGTGATGAAATTTATTCAATGCGTTTTTGTACAAAATAAATGAATCTGGCAGAAAAAGTGTCGCTCTGCCTTGCGAACTGATGTGAGATATTAAGCATTAAAGTTTTAAATATTAAATATTAAAGATGATTATTAAAATTAAAAAATCTCATCAAGTCACAAATCACAGGCATGTAAGCGCAGTGAGCATGCATTGTGGTTACTTTTAAAATAAAAAAAAATTCATTGTTTTGCAAACATAAATTCACTTTGTATTTTTAAAGTTTAAATTAATAGTGAATTTGTGTTCTTAAAGTAGTGTTTGTACTGTTTGTAAAGTGGTGAATTTGTATTTGTAAAGCAGTTTTTTATTAAGATTTTATATGAGGAATACTCTAAATAATTACCCTAATTTTTTACTATTGCACTTGATTTGTTTGATTATTTTTATTCAGTTTAAATGTTGCATACCCTTTATTACAGGAAAAATATCTACTAAAACACATGCGCATGAAGTCACAGAACATGAAAATGTAATCACAATCGCATGCTCGCACCGCAGTATTTTACGACTGACAGATTTTCTAACCTCAACAATCGACAACTTTAATGTTTAATATCTCGGTTCACAGGACAGAGTAACACCTTTTTCTGCCAAATTCGTTCATTTCGTGCAAAAACGCGACGAATAAATCTAATTTCATCAAAATCGATGAGGAAGCCCGACTCTTTCACAATTATCGTAAAATATAGTCAATTATAAATGAACAGCGTATATATATATAATTAATATAATGTGTAAAAATAAAATAAATCTCTTTTTTCTGTTTCGCATCAAGCTAAATGTTCCACAATCAGACGCCAATAAGAAGAAGTCAGGAGACACGACGGAGTGTCTCTCTGTCTCGGCACTAATAGTATTTACATCGCGTAAATTAACTACTTGACTTTTTTGCCGATTGCTGCGCAAGCAGACTAAACATGAAATTATTTCCTGTCGTTTTGCAATTCATTGCGTAAGACTTTCAGTAATATTTTACCCAATTTTGCCATGATAAGCCTTGTCTTCCTAAACGATGTTAACCACAAAATCGACGCAGCCCCCCGTCACGCTCCGAGTTAAATCGAGCACGTGTCAACGATTAAGACCCGACTTGAGCGGTTTGAGTCGAGACTGCCGAGAGCCGAGATCAGTGGAGATGGTACTGGTGAAAGTCATGGGGCATGCATCCAGAAGTATGACCGATCACTGATGAGTGCTCACTGAGCTCTTGCATCTGATTGGCATATTCCATTAGATCTAAAAATATAAACCAAACAGGTACAAGAGTTGTCGTTCTAAATGTACCCATGGTCATCCGCACAAAAAACTAACTTAACATGAAATTATGTTGTAGCTACTATTATTATACGCAGAAAAGTATTTGAGCCCAAATTTAATTAATTGTTTCCAGTATGCTATAAGAGGCCTAGTTTCCACCGAAGGTTCGAACCGGGTCAGAATACAAGATTCAACCAATTACAATCGAACATTACTCGTTTGACTGTAAGGAGTTCCGCATAATAAAATAGAGAATAAGAATTTCAATCTTCTTTCTATCAGAAATCATACAATCATTCAAATAATTTCTGATAGGTTGAAATTCTTATATTCTGTTCTCTATTCCTTTGATTGTGCGGAGCCCTTAATAGGGGACTGTTAATACTCGATTGGTTGATTCTTGCATTCTGATTCGGATCGAGCTTCGGTGGAAACTAGGCCGGAGAGAAACCTAAGAGAGGACCTACAAGGGCTTTTTCCTTGTAACCGCAAAATGCATGGCAGCGCACTACTGCCTTGTGAAGAAGTGGATGTAAGCTAGACAACAATCAAAAAATATTTATTTTTTTTGCCATTGTTAATGGAAACAAATCGCTAAAATTATTGAAATCTATATTATTTTATTTGATTTTAATTATTCCAGCGATTTATTTCTACCAGGAGCATCGCAAAAATGTAGATATTGTGTAGTTTACATTTACTTCTTCAGAGGGCATTAGTATGCGGAGACATTTTGGTTACGGAGAAAAGGTTTTCATGTCCTCTCTCAGATTTCTCTCTGATTTAAGCAAATATCAGATCCGTCAGATCGATGTATGCAGAGAATTTACTTTTAATTAACCTTATGCTGATCAATCTCATGATCAGTCTTATAAATATTCTAGCGAAATGACGAGTTCGAATAACAGGATCGTTGTTCTGATCGACATGGACTGCTTCTTTTGTCAGGTTGAAATCAAGTTGCAACCGCAACATGAAGGAAAACCCCTTGCTGTTGTCCAGTATAATCAGTGGGAGATGGGCGGGTAAGCGGAATTTGTTAATTTTATCCAGTCACTCGCACCGTTTTCAAATTAAACTTCAAGGTAACTGTTTCGAATATGTCTCTCCACCCTGAAAACTTGATAAAAATGTACTCATATTCTGTCTTCTTCAGCTCCAAAAGATTTATCATAGGTTCATTTCAATTCTTTTGTATAAAAGTGTTATATTTATTGACTTTAGGACTAGATATGATTATATCAGTTACATTTGATATAATTGCAGGATAATAGCAGTTAATTATGAGGCACGGAGTTTTGGAGTAACTAGGCATATGAGAGGTAAAGAAGCTAAAGAAAAATGTCCAGATATAGTTCTAGTCAGTGTACCATGCCTTCGTGGAAAAGCAGATACATCTAGGTAATAATTTGCAGTTAGAATAGATTTTTATGGACATAATATGTTAATTGTTTGTATTTCTATCATAACTCAATTTGATATTTTTTTTTTTATTTTGATATCAAAGTCTTTTCAAAGTCTTCATAGACGCATAATTAAAAATTATTCAATACATAATCAATTTAATTAATTTAATAATTTGTGTCACGCAGATATAGAAAAGCTGGCCGCGAGGTTATTCAAGTTATAAAAAAGCATTGTAATGTAATAGAGCGTGCTAGTGTCGATGAGGCATATCTTGACATTACGGATATTGTTGATAAGAGAATAGGTGCATCTAAAGTTTCTCCAAAACAACTAATATCATTTCTTGCAAATACATATGTTGTAGGATATTCGGAAATTAATAAAAATGACGAAGGTAATGTAAAAGTTACTCCTGACACTCGAAGTGAACGATTTAGATGTTGCGCGTATCAAACAAATACATTATCATTCCAGAGGAAAGATGTAAAGGGCTACATACTTGGATACTAGACTCTTTTAAAGAACTGCACGATGATCAAGCTCAGAGACTTGCCGTAGCTGGCATAATAGTTGAGGAGATAAGAGATAGTATATATAGAGAAACCGGATTCAAATGTTCTGCTGGAATTTCACAGAACAAGGCTAATATTTTATTTTCTCCTTTTTCTATTCTCTGTATTTTATTGTGTATCATGTTAATGATTTGCATATTAACCGAATATTCTGATCAACTAATAGATATTAGCAAAACTAGCATGTGGATTACATAAACCAAATCGCCAAACAATTTTACCTGAAGCAGCTGTTTCAAGCTTGTATTCGACGCTTCCAGTGAAAAAGGTCCGAAATTTCGGTGGAAAGTTTGGCGATGTTGTAGTCGAGTCTCTTGGTTGTAAAGTTATGGGAGACCTATTGCAATATTCTTTGGAACAATTAAAAAAGCATTTTGACGAAAAGACAGGGTAAGTATTGAAGCTTTTTGTTTGCGAGCAAAGTTTCAATGATAATAACTTATGATTTGTCATTTCTAACATAATTTTCAAAATAACGTAATTTTAATTCTTCAGATTCTGGCTATATAATATTGCTCGAGGTATAGATGACGAACCTGTCACCAACAGGCTATTAGCAAAGTCCATTGGGGCGTGTAAAAAGTTTCCTGGGAAGCAAGCTATTACTTCATTAGAAGTGGTAAAATCATCAAAAAATATTCTAACATTATATAAAGTCACGTAATATATATAAATATCACGTATTTATAAATAGTTTATCGGATTGCACGACAAGCATATATTTCATGTTTAGTTGAAGCACTGGGCCGGGGATCTGGCAGCGGAAGTATGCGAACGGCTTGAAGAGGATTTTGTGGAGAATCAACGACGTGCTACACTACTCGTAATCTCTTATCATTATTATCAAAACAAAAGTACTGTATCCCAAACGCGTTCACTTGCCTTAAACTCATACAAACCAGAGAAAATGGCGAATCAATGCGTGGACGTTATCACCAAGTCTACGCAGTACCCGGTAGCATTCATGGGCATTTCTGTTACTAAATTTGTACAATCGAAAGAGAGCGGTAGCTTCTTAAAATTCTTTAAAAATACCAAACCAAAAGACGAGGAGGAAACCGTTATTTTAAATTCACATAGAGATACTGAAATCGATACGATGAACTCGATGTCCAATTCAGAAGCGAAAGAAAAGACGCCTTTCAATAGCAAAGAAGTTTATTCATTGGAAAATAAAAGACAGAAATCTCAGAAAGTCAAAGAATCAATCACAAAAACTGAAAATGAAGGGATGATGAAGGGAAGCAAAAGAATTATTAACTTAAATATGAGCGCTGAGGATTCGCCTACATCAAAAAGAGTTTCCAAGCTAATCCAAGTGTGTAATGAGCGCAACAAGACTAGAACAAAGAACAAACGTCTATCAGGTATGGTAATAAATAATAACGACTTTCAAAATTCTTTCTTTATGAATGTATATAAGACAGAGGAGAAAAAATGTTATAATAATGTTGACGAAAGCACCAATACTATGGAAGAATCAAAGTGTAGAAAACGATTGATTGTGTCTAATACGAGTGAAAAAAATGTGAATGACGAGAATATCGATGATTACGACATAGATTTACGCAGACAAGTAAATGTTTATGAAACACCTTCCACAAGGCATATGCATATGCATGCAAATAGCAATAATGAAGAACCTACAGAGGAGAATAACAAAAGGACTTGTGCACAAGATCCTTTGATGCGATTACAAGAAATATTCCCAGATTTGGACGATATAGATTCAGACATCCTATCTTTGTTGCCAGTCGATTTACAGGAGGAAGCAAAATTGTATATGAAATCGCGAGGTAAGAAACAGGAAAATATTAAGATTGCTTGGGAGTTGCCGAAAACGGGAAGAAGAAGACCCAGCAAGGCTACACTCGTTGGCAAGAGTGACAAGAAGCGTAGCCCCTTGTATAATTTCCTAATTAAGACTAACTCGGACAAGTATAAGGTGCCTCTAGAGCGATGTGCTGAGTGCAATCAAATGATACCTATAACAAAGTTCAGCGAACATGTAGACTTCCACGTCGCACAAAACTTATATCAGGAGATTAATAAGCCGACATCGAGTGAGAATAAAAACACAAAAAGGAAACTCGAGGATGATGAAGTTAATGTTTTCACGAAGCGTCAAACGTCAAATGTTTGTGAATCTAATAAGGATTTTCGATCGGCAACTACGTTTCTCTCATGATTGTGTCTGTGAATCTAGTGTTTTTCGATATTTTACTAACAATAATATCGATGATAATTTATTTTCTATCAATCGCGATCGCAATGACATTGTAATTACAGAAAAAATTGTAGGCTAAATATTTTATATTTGTATATATCATATAATTGCAAAAATGTACAATCCAATTTAAAAGCAGAAAATCCATTATATAATCCGTTATAGTTATATAGAAATTTTTGAAACTGAGTTTCAATCAAAAAAATATTTTGATATTATTTTGATATCTGCCCTTATGTCTTTAATTAAAAAAATAGTGTATATACATATATGTATAAAATTTATAAAAATGATAAAAATTTTAAGATATATTATCTGCTTTATCAAAATAGATTTTTTATTATTGAGAACATTTATTTTAATATATAAAGTTTTTACATCTGCTTCGTGTATTTAATTAAAAAAAAAATATATATATATTTTTTTTTTTAATTGATCCTTACCGAATACCCTGTGCTGCGTGTGCGCGTGTAGACATGTATGTAAACTGTTTTTTAATCAATGTAGCAAGATTATAAGATATGATTATAATTGATACACATTAGAAAATAAGAGAAGAGAAATTAGAAATCTAAATTTGATTTAGCCATGATATAGGATTTTTTTATTTATGGATAGTTATTAATGGTTTTCTCTTCATTTGACATTAGATTCATTCTCAAATGACAAGGATATCTTGTCGGTAAAAAACGTGTGACAGATTCATCTCAAATAATAAACTTCGCGCTTAGATCAGTATTCATAATCGGATCTTATATTTAATTTAAAATCGTAAGAAAGTACAGTTTTAAAATATCAATCAGAAAGCTGTATTAACGTTAAGACATTACTTGAAACGATTTTAAAATAAGAACACAAATACCGACTACAAATACCAGTTTTAATATCGATATAGTGGAGATAATTTCATGATCATGAAATGAATTTTCAGCAATCGCTCACAGTTTAGTACGATGTTCTTCAAGAGATGGCGGCAGTGATTCCATCGGTTACTTGAACCGCTCGAGCGCAGCAATTATTTTTTATTGGTTGCCAGGCAACGAGAAGCGAGACGCGACTCGCGTTCTATCCGAACACGACGATGTCGTTCGAACGGCAGGCACCGGTGCGGTGGCGGCAGTGGTGGAGAGCTTTCGAAGTTGACTTTAATATATGTTCGTCGTCCAAGAATATCCACGCCGCGACCGCCTCGAGGACAGCCAAGGCGGCGAACCGACACCGACAGGCAGACATTACGCGGCGAGTAGCCGTTCAAGTAACGTACTTGGCGTTCTTGTGCGGCCTGTACCTCATCACGATCGACCTCAGTCATCTCAGTCAGTCGAATTGAGCGTAACGTCTCGATCGGGCGCCTGCCAGGCTGTCAGCTGCCTAGCTAAGTAGCCAAGTAACTAAGTAGGGTACAGGCTCGGCTAACTCGCGACTTCGGAGTAATCATAGATCGGTAATCGGTTCCGCTCCACCGTTCTCGCCGATTGCTCGTGCAGCGCTACGAACCGCGGCGAATAAACGCGATTCGCGAGTGCACGTTTGAAGAATCGGATTCCATATATATCCATACGAAAACGGTCGCATTTTATTCGGCTCTTTTCTCCTATTTAACGGCTGACTGACAGATCGGCCGTTCACCGTAAACCGGTTCCGACGCACAGGCACGGTGGAGGCACGGCTGTGTGGAGGAGCGTCTCGTGTGAGTCGTGTGCTCGCGCTCGGGAGAACACTCTGAACTCTGAACGTGGCGAGTCTCTCTCTCTCTCTCTCTCTCTCTCTCTCTCTCTCTTTCTTTCTCTCCCCATCTCTCACGCGCGCGCGCGCGCGCGCGCGCGCGTTTCGCATCTACCTTCGGTTTGGCTTCCGTTTGTCGTTCGCGCGCGGCAATAGAAAGAACGCGCAACTGGCAGCGTGCGCGCGTTATGTATGTATTGCATCGCGTAGTGTAGCGTCGCGTCATATTGTCGTATATAAGCTACGCAAGTGCGTGTGAGTGCGTACGGTGCACGCGAGCGGGCGCGTTTGGCCGTTTGCCCGTGAGAAAGAGAAAGAGAAAGAGAAAGCCCGAGGCCGAGGAAATCAAGGTCCGCACATTGTCGTCGCCGGCGCGCGCGGGATCATGGACGAAGAGGAGATCGACGGCGTCAAGTCACCCATCAAGCGGCTTGGTTCCACGCGGAAGCTACTCATCTTTAACAGTAAGCTTTCATTCAACACTTCTTTTTTTTCTTTTTTTTTTTGCGACTTTATTATACTTGTATACTTATTATGTGCGAGATGTGAATTTCAATAGGTTCGCTCTTATCAGGTGTTTTCCTAAAATAAACATTTTCCAATAATCGATCATTACCGTATTAAAAAGCTATAACGCTTTCGCGAGAATAGTCATAGGGTACTGCAGCTTTTCTCAAATATTAACGAATTTTCGAGTCGTGGTAAATCTTGTCATAAAAGAATTGTTCTTTTATACTTAAACGATCTCGAATATCATTGGAACCATATTGAAAGTATTATGCACTCGTCGCACTTTGAAAGTATTACATTATTGTAAAAAAAGAGTATATCAGTGTGTACAAAGTTGTTCAATATCGGAACAATATAAAGTAGGGAGCATGTCTGTGATTTTTTTAATTCTTTGCGATCCTACGTTGAGTTGGATTCGAAACTATAATTTTGATTGATACGTGTTGCAAGTCAATCGCGAGTTTGTTGCAGCAGCCAATCTGAAGCGTCAATTTTAAAATTGTACTTGCGATCGATTTGCAACCAAAGTATTTTTGGTATGCACGATGTCGATTTGCGACTAAAGTACTTTTGGTATACACGGTGTCGATGTCAAGTTGAAATCTGTGCTTTTCAATTGTGCTTCCGAACCGAATTTAACGTAGAATTAGAGTAAGACAAATTGACTATTGCAACGAGCCTACGATCGATTTGCTATAATACAGAATATAGAACCAAGGTAAGAC